AGTGCCGAAAAGCACTTTCACAGTTCGTGGGGAGATCGGAGAGAACACATTACTGTGAAAACTGCAGTATATTTTTGGAGAGCTTAGAAGTTCTCCGCTCGATCAGTATTTCTTCTAGTGCTTATAATTGCATATATTGGTGGGCAAGAAAGTTGTGACAAATACTGAGCTGGTGTTCCCTCTCCCTCCTGCGGGGATTTGCAAAGGGCTGAGGAAACGCGGCGCTGGGCAGCCCGGTCCCTCCCGGCCGGAGTGAGAACAGGCTGCAATTATGTCTGTGTGGGAGCCGAGGAGCTGCAAACCGCCTGTAATTGCCGGCAACAGGTCGGTGTGTCTGCGGGACGGGAGCGGGGCAGGCAGCAGGAACAGGCTGTCATTAGGGGTTGCCAGTCCTCGCCCACAGCCGGGATCTGGGAATTGCCAGGCAGCGGCTCCCCTTGCTGAGCTCGCACCCTGCCCATGCAGAGCCTGCCGGGTGCCTTTCGCTGTGCCAGGGGATTGGGCCTCTGGAAGCGTCTGCTTCAGCAGAGGCTTCTCAGATCCATCAGCGAGAGGGACACTGGGGTGTCCCTGCCGCACATCTCCTCCGCCGGCTGCTGCTGTGAAATGCCTTCGTGTGCAAGGGCTGCGATCTCCGAGCGGAAGCACGTATACTTGTGAATTCCCCAGGGATCAGGAGAGGAAAGGGAGGATTTGCATGGAAGGATGTCTCTGGAAATGAAATGGCTGAGGCCAAGTTTAGGCTGGAAGGCGGCGGCGAGGAGGTTTCTGACCGCTGAGGGGATCTGCGGCAGATCCTCGGGGCATCTCCAGCCCCGCCTTCTCTTGTGAAAGAGGTGTCAAGGGGGGAGGTGAAACTGAGGTAAGGGACTGCCCAGGGACTGGGAGTCCCTTGTCCAACAGTCCTCCCAAAGTGTCTTTTGCTTTGCTCCGGCAATCATCTTGGATTACAAATTGGGAATTGTCCAAAACAGATTTGGGAAGAACCTTTAGACAATGCATTAGGGCTTTACTGACTGGCAGAACATCTTGGAGGAAAAATGTGTTGGCAAGAAAATTTAGACAAGTCCTGGGCACGGGCCCAGGGGTGGGAAGAAATAAAATAGGATGCTGCTGCTGGTGCAGCACGCAGGAGGTGAGGAGGTGGCAGGGTTGGCTGTGCCTGCTCTCCAGTCCTTTAGGAAGCAGCCAAGATGAGCAAAACGTGCTTCTAGAGATGCAAGTGTTTTAATATCCAAAGCTTGAAGGATCATAGGAAATACAGAAAATAGAAAGCAAGTTGCTTGTAAGAACTGGATTGCAAGAGGGATCCCAGGAGTTGCATAGCAAGCCTTTCCTCTTTGGGTTGCAGGCTGAAAACCTAGCCTGGCCACAGCTCAAAGTTGTCACCACCCTGAAGGCTGGAAAACAAGTGCTGAGTCTCAGGGACATGTCCCTGGCACAGGTGTTTCCTCTGGACAGCCCTGCACATGCCTCTGCTCGTAGTTCCCATCCCAGAAGCTGTTGTGCAATCCATATCCAACCAGCTCCCCTGGGAGGGGTGATCTCAGAAGCTTTGGGTGCAGGTTTCAGGATTTATTTCCCCTCTATAAACGTTTGCCAGGTCTTTGGAACAAGGTCACTTTCAAATTGACTTCCTGACAAAGCTCCCTGGATGAATCAAAGCTTTCATGGACATTGCTCCCCTACACACCAGGTCTTTGTGGTAAAGAGGGCAACTTCTGTGCAGCAGTGTCACTGCCTGGCCCCCTCGATTGCAGGAGCAGCTCATTTTGAGGCAGCAGCCTGGTTTTATGGCAGGTCCTGCCCTGTCATTCCACTGGGAACCCATTTCCCAAAGACCTGCTGAGAGGCAGGGTCCCAGCTCTGTCAGACAAGCCTTGGGGTGGGTGTTTGTGGCAGCTGCTCCCCAGAAGCTGGCCTCTTTCAGCTGTTCCCTGGCTGCCACTGCAGAAGAGAGGCTGAAGTGTTTATTCATTTTACTCCTCACTGTGTGAGTCAGACTGGGTGTGTTTGGGGCAGCTCTGGCTATTCTGCAGTGACACCCATTGTGTGGAGGGAGCCTCCTGGCCTCCAGAAACTGGTGCCCTTCATTCTGTTGCCCACACAACCAGGAGGCATCCCTGGGAATGGCGCAGGAAACTGGGATGAAGAGGCCAAAGCTTTGCTTGAGTAGCAAAGTGCCAGTCTGAGAAACTCCAGAATCATTAAGGACAGGTGATGAAGAACCATTTTCATCTCCCCAGCCCATCCCAGCCCAGGCTGGAGCACGGCTCTGTGCTGAGAAAGGCTCTGGGACAAGAGCCAGGATACCTGGATCTCTTGCTAAGCTGATTCCTCTTGGCAGGCTCCTATCCTGCTGAACCAAGGAAATGCTGCTGGGGAGCTGGCGGGGAGGGCATTTTGGCAGCTGTGAAATGCCACCCATGTGGATGGGAATTCCCTTCCTGATACCCATGGCGTTACTTCAGAGGTTGCTGGTTTGGCTAGAGCAGCCACAAAGTGCTAATGGGCATGAGATGGTGCAGCCCCAGCTTTCCCCTGTGTGCCTTTCCAGAGCCCCAGCTCCAGTCTAGTCCTCTGCTGGCAAACAAGGCTGGGTGTTGGCAGGCAGTGCAGCTGGGAACAAGCTCTGGGAACATCCCTAAATTTCCTGTGAGGCTTGGACTGGTATCTGGCACTGCTGCTACCAGCCAGAGGCTGTGAGCTGCCTTATACCCTTCTCTGAGAGATGCTGTTTTCATGCAACATGCCCAGAGTTCACCAGACCACTGGTTTGCAGTCTGCTGGCCATGACAGGGGAGTCCACTCCAGTACAACAGCCAGCATCCTTGGCAAGATACAGGAGCTCTATGCAGAGGGACAGACAGCTGAGCCTGCATCCCTCTGAGAACCAGAAATAAATGCACAGTCACTGCCACGCTCCAGAGGGGAGAAGGAGCATCTCAGCTCTCGTTCACTCCCTCTGTGGTGGGAGGTGTTGGCAGTGAGAACCGAGTTATTTATTTATTAAGATCCCACTTGTGTTGCTCCCTGAGGCTGCTGGTCTCTGTGCTGGAGCTGTGCTGCTTGCGTGCTTGCAGGAAATGGAAAGACTTCAAGCTATGAAGCAGGAGTACATATATGAAAATATTGTGAGTTGGGCAGTGGTGGGGGTGGAGAGGACATGAGGGCTCACTGGCACAGAAGATGTCCCTGTCCCAAACACTAAGCGAAGGAACCCTCTTGAGAGCCAGATGAAGGTGGGTGTGCATCAGCTGCACATCCTGAGTCCAGCCTGCAGCCGTGTTGCTGCAGCTCTAGCGTGTGAGCCGCCTGTGATCCCTGACGTGCTGTGGCTGCAGGAAACCCCGCAGGCTTTTCCAGAACATGGCTTTTAAGTCAGATCAGACCAGC